AAAAAAAAAAAAAAAAAAAAGAAATCTGGTTACCATTTAAATGAGGCAGAGTGGGTTATGGGTTGATTAAAATAACAACTCATTGTGAAACCATTATATTCATGTTCATATTTTTGTACTAATTTGATTACTGTCCCTTCTGATCAACTGTTTGTACTTTGTGATAAACCACTTCCCTCTGTCACTAACTTCGTTTAGGTCCGGAAAAACAATCGAATAGATCTTCTGTCTTGCCCCTCCTATAGTCTGATTTCCACACACTACTCAGATTGATCCTTTTAATTCACAAATCAAATTATATTACCATTCACCTGAAAACCTCCCCAGGTGGTCACCTATTTCACAGTTTACTAACTATATATTTTTAATTTTCTGTGTCCTGGCATTTGGAGTCTTGCTGACTGGGGAGATTCTGCCCCTCCCAGGACCAGACAGTTATTAGAGACCACTAACAACTTCCCCGGGACCTCGCTTTTCACATGCAAACGACCCACCTGTCTGTCTCCTTAAAGCTCTAGGGCCCCGTACTAGAAGGGAGTGACACTTAATGCTCCAAAGCCCTACCATATTATTCAAACCAGTCAATCCTAAACTGTCTACCTGTTCCGCCTTGCCTTTTCCTGCCGAAGACACGACACATGTGGTGGGCGGTGCTTTCTCCGTCACTGCTGCCTCCGACCCACCCTGGTGCTTCCCCCGCTCCTCCGCTCCGCCGTGTACGTCTGGTAGAACAGGCAGTTCGGAGCTGGAGGCTAGGGTGCTGATAAGTAGGTTACACATTAGAAGCCTGCGGTCACACATGCTGACCGCCTTCCAACACGCCAGCTGACAGACCAGGAGCCCCGGTGCGGAACACGCACGCTCCCGCCTGTGCCGCAGGCCATCCGTGCCCAAGGTCATGCCTGTGCGCTGCAGCGTTGCCCCCTCCCCCGTGGGAAGGCTGCCAAGATGGTTCCGGTAGGAACACGGTGGGCTTGATCAGAGACTCCCCTCCCGACCAGTGACTGGAAGGAGCCTCTATGAGAGACCACCCCGTCTATGACCCATGAAGAGAAAAGAGCCCTGTAGCTTCAGGGCAGTGCCTCGCTTTCCCACCTTGAGAACGGCCTGTCCTTAAAGGGCTTTGTGCTTTGCTACCTTCCTTCTGGCTGCCTTTCCCCGAGAGCCGGTCCTCACGTAAACCTTCTGTGGGGAGTCCGAGAACCGAGACCTCCATCCACACGGCGCAGAGTCTCCCACGGGTAACATGCCATAATTCCCATTTGCTAGGGATGTGAGCATAAACTTCTTCCATTGTGACAGTCCCTTCCAGATCTGCTGCCTTACCACACCTGAGGAAACAAATCCCAGGTACATTTTAGAACACGTGCTGGAGCCAATTACAGCCTCCTTACAAAGGCTGACAGGGTTCTACGGAATTTGTCTCCATTTATCTAACTCCCCTGGTCCCGCTTGAACCCCTGCCACACAGTTCTAGCTCCACTAGCCTTCTCCTCAGGCCCCCGGTGCGCTCCGACCCCCCCCCCCCCCAGGAATGTCTTAAAAGACTCTGGAGCCATCTCTTTGAAATGCAGAAATCAAGGGAGATGTTATCTCTATCACTCAGCTTCTCTGGGAAGACAGCCTCTCTGGTGGGCATCTGGCTCCAAGTTGCAAAAGGGAAGATTCACGAAGGAAGCCTCGTTAATTTACAACAGAGTTGGGAGGCCAGAAGGCAGAACTCTCACGAAACCACTCCAAGGCAATCACAGGAAGAATCGTGAATTCCAGGCCCCAACTGGAAAAGATGGACCCTGCATCACCTGCAAGAAATCAACCATCCCTGCAACTCAACCAATGAGAGACTTCCATCATCTTGAACTGTTGCTGTCCTCCAATGGAATTTGTTCAAAACGACCCTGCCAACTCCCTCCTCCTCCATAAAATAACTTTTGTTTGTCGGATTTGCCTGTGGCTTTATTGTAGTTTGCGTGTCTCTATGGCAATTCTGTGCTATTTCCAAATGACACTTTTTTTTGTGGGTAAAATAACTGACTTATTTTTAAGGTTAACACCGCTTTCTATCCTCAAGAAATGAGACGTTTGTTTTCCTTTATGGAAAGCCAATGTAGGAGCAGACAGCCACCCCAATTACCAGGTAGATTTAGGATGACTCTGTGTAACAAATGGTGCTGTTATGTTTTCTTATGTGAGGACTAATTATTGTTTGTGATGAAGCTATGTAATGGGAGACACTGGGAAAGCCAGTGTCTGCTTGGCTTTACGAAATGGCATCTTTCTCACTTTCCATCTCTTAGCAATTATCTGTGATACGGCATCGCATTCAGTTTAAGGTTTATTCAGTAATAAACTTTTATTTATGTTTTTACTATCTTTGTGAGGAGGTTTTCTGGGTTGGGAGAAGATTTTTTCTTTCTAAATTACATTCCTCCAAGAATTTATATTGTTACTGTGGTAGGGTCCCCTCCATAAGGAATGAAAAAAAAAAAAAAAAAAAAAACCTCAAGCAACCTGGCTATACATGTGACGACATCCCTCTCGACCTTGTAACATGAGACCACGTAATCAGACTCCATGTTTGTGTGTTATCATTATATGGGAGACAGAGAAAAAGAAAATGTATTAAAAACGATGCCACGTGGCATTTGTTCAGGGCTCAATTCTTCAGGTAGGAACCCAACTGAGCCGTGCTGGCAAGAATAAAGTTGCTTCCTGGAAAGAAAAGCCTCAGTGTCAGACTCTCTGCAAGAATCCTGCTACGTTACCTGTCTAAAAGAATGCAATTTAAATTTTTGGTAACGCCTGTATATGCCACACAAACAGACATGTGGGCTGATTTTACTATTTGAGACTCCCAAATGCAAACTGCAGACAGTGTCTGTGAAAATTAATTAAAGGAAGCTTCAGTAAAATGGAGCCAGGAGGCCAGACGGGGGCTGTCACATCCTGACTAGGGATGTCAATTGCAGACGCCGGCAGAAGAATCCTCAACAGTAAAGAATCATCAATTATAGGCCCCAAGGAGAAAAGATATACATTGCATTTCCTACAAGAAATTGACCACCCCGGCAACTCAACCAATGAGAAGGTGTCTTTTACTAAACTGTTGCTTTTCTCCAATGGACTTTCCTTCAAAACAAGCCCTCCCAAACTTCCTTCTCCGTAAAACAGCGTTTTGCTGCATCTTCCTTGTCCCTATATTGTAATTCTGTATTTCCAGATAAGCCCTTTTTTCTTTTTTCTTTTTTTTTTGCTGGTTAAAAATAACCGAATGTTAAATACAATGAATGTATTATTGTATTTTTAAGGTCAAGAGTCCAGCAAATACACAGCTCATGGAGGCAAAGGGCGAGCGGTCTGTGCCATTGCGCCGAATGGGCCTACAGTCCCAGGCTCGGGGAGGCTCCAAGGGCTGTGGGGTGGAGTGGGGAGAGCAGGGGCTGCAGGACACCCCAGGACAGAGGCAGAAACTTCGGGAAGCAAGACGAAGGACACCCCTGGGGAGTGGCCTGAACGGGACACGATCTCCCAGCGGGGGCCGGTTTGGTGCGTAGCTTGGGAGTGTGCCGACCTTAGAGCCACCCCCACCCCCCGCAGCTTCCTGTGGTTGGTGTCTCATCATTCACAAGCACACGGTGTCAGTTCATTAATGCATTCGCGCACTCCCGGAGACTCACGCAGGAATTGGTTCACCGAGACCCTTTGCTTCGCCTCCCACTCCCCCAGGTTCCCCCAGCTCACCCGGGCCCCCCTGAGTCTGCCCCGCCGCAGCGCCCGGGTCTCCGCGCCCTGCCACCTCATTGGCTCAGCGTGGGCGGAAGCTCCCATTTCTGTCTTTTCTATTGGACACGCTGCCTGCGCGCCCAGAAGATCCAACCAATGGGAGCCGGTCAGGAACTGTGGCTCAGCCAACGAGGGGGCGCAGACATAAAGGCCCCAGCTCTGGCTTCCCGGGAGTTCCTTGATCTTCGGAGGTGCAGCTCCGCGCGCTGCGGTGAGGGTTCGTGGGGGGGCCGTCGGCGTCCGAAGCGCCTCAGCCTGGTTGTTGCCTACCCTCACCCCTTTTGAGGACAGTTCCAAAGGGCTCGGGAAGGCGTCCTTTCGCCGCCGTGCCGTCTCCTGGGGAGCCACCCAAACGCTGCGATGCAGTCGGGCAGCGTGCAGCCCGCAGATGAAGAAGAGGAGCAGACCCGAGACCAGGGAACAGGTGAAGAAAGACTGGTGTCAGTTGTTGGGGGCGGGGGTGGGGTGCAAGAAGCGCGTGTTGACCTCTGCCTGTCTGTCTAAGAAGCTGCAGCAGGCCTCGTGGAGCTCGGCATGCCCCCCGTGTGAGTGTCTCTGGAAGGAAGCGGAGCGGGACGAGAAATGAAGACCAGCTGCACGTGGGAAGTGTTGGCTCGTGGGCCAACCAAACAGCCTGGCTGCGCCCTTGACAAGGGGAAGGGGCACGGGGGCGGGAGGCGAGAGGTGAAGGAGGTTCGAGTCCGTCACTGCCCGCCATCTTCTTCCCCAAACTGAGGCTCTGTTCTAACTTTCAGGCGGCGCCTCAAGATTGAGGACTTTGAAATCGGGCGTCCTCTGGGCAAGGGAAAATTTGGGAACGTGTACCTGGCTCGGCTCAAGGAAAGCCATTTCCTTGTGGCCCTGAAAGTCATCTTCAAGTCCCAGATAGAAAAGGAAGGACTGGAGCACCAGCTGCGCCGGGAAATTGAGATCCAGGCGCATCTACAGTAAGGACGGGCTGCAGGAGAATCCAGCGCCAGCTTCTTCCTCTTCATCTGTTTCCTCTTCCATCTCTGGCATCTGAACCCAGCACTCCCCCCAAATGACCCTCCAACAGGCCACCTTGAGTCCACCTTGAAGACTTTTTCTGCAGTTCACTCCACTGACACCGTGTAAACCTCCTCCCTGTTTCAGACCCCCAAATCCTGATGCCTCCTCTTGCTCTCCCCTCACACACTCCAGTATCAGACCATTATTCTGGTCCCAGCGCAATTTGTCCTTTGTCCGACCAATCACTTTTAGTAGCATCGGGAGTTGGGTCTCATGAGTCTGACCCTTCCTCCATCTTTTCTCCAGGCACCCCAATATCCTACGCCTATACAACTACTTCCATGATGCACGCCGGGTGTACCTGATTCTGGAATATGCTCCAAGGGGTGAGCTCTACAAGGAGCTGCAAAAGAGCAACACGTTGGATGAACAGCACACAGCCACGGTGAGGTGGGAGGGCTGGCGGCTCCGGGCCTGTGAGTTTACTCTGGGCTGGTGGGGATCACTGCTTGTGGCTGTCATTAGTGTCCAGCTTCTTTTTTTTTTTTCTTTATTTCTGAATTCTGTTACCTTTTACGTAGTGACACATACATCCTATAACTTCACATTTTGATACCCTAGTTACCCAGAATATTAATAATTAGTGTGTGTGAGTTTGGATTCTTTGGTTGTAAGCAACAGAATCTCCACTACCTTATGTGAAGAAGCATGTTGAAAGCCTATGAGTAGAACTGGCTTAGAAATAGAAAGCAAGAGAATTCTACAGAGCCTCAGATGGGGAATCAGAGCCTCAGTTATCCCAGCAGGAAGGGCTGGGTCAGCTTGCTGTCAGAATGAGTGATCTTCCAATTTTCCTCCTATTTTTGTATCATTTCTTCAGGACTCCAGTCCTGTGGGCGATCCTCTGATTGGCTCAGCATGGGCCCTGGTCCAGCTCCTTGCTGTGCTAGGGCAAAAGAGAGGCTCCGTCCACTTTAGCATCACTCCTTTAAGACCACATAAAATGGGGAGAGGAATTCCTCCCCCACCAGTAATTAATTGTGCCATTAAGGAAGTAATGGGGTTGGTAACTAGGACATAAAAGATTCCACTACAGGGGCGCCTGGATAGCTCAGTCAGTTAAGCGTCCAACTCTTGGTTTCGGCTCAGATCACGATCTCTCCGATTGTGAGTTGGAGCCCTGCATCGGGCTCTGCACTGACAGTACAGAGCCTGCTTGGGAGTCTCTCCTTTTTCTCTGCCCCTCTCCTGCTTGTGTGCTCTCTCTTTCAAATTAAAAAAAAAAAAAAAAAGATTCCACTACAATGATAAAAATGTATGAGGAGTATTTTATCTCCCACGGAAAACTGGCTGGCTTCATTTCCAGACTGCTTTTTCTTTGCTCACTCAGATAATGGAGGAATTAGCAGATGCTCTGACATACTGCCATGAGAAAAAGGTGATTCACAGGGATATCAAGCCGGAGAATCTGCTGCTGGGGTTCAGGGGTGAGGTGAAGATTGCAGACTTTGGCTGGTCTGTGCACACCCCATCTCTGAGGTAGGTCACGTGGTGGTGGCATGGGCCCTGGGTGCCAGTAAGGAATGATCCAATTTAACCCATTGCACGTGTAAGACTGGGATAAAACCCCGGGTTTGTATTTGAGCACTGTCTTTTTTCACATGTATATATTTAATGTGCATTTGTAGATGGAAAGAATGGCTGAACCACATATTTTATCTTTTGATCTCTGTTAACATATAACTTTCCCCAGTAAGTTTCCATGTAAGTAAGAATCATTGCTCCATAATTCCGGAAATTTTACTTGGTCTCTGTTGATGCACCTTCAGTTTGTTCCAAATCTCTATTGATGCCCAGAATATTATGAAAACATCCTGGCTCGTGAGCTAAATGTATAAGTAATTCCAAAGTATGGAATTGGTGGGTCCCAGAACTTGCCTTCCCTAAACCTCGATCCTTATTAAAACTTGGTGTTCCCAGACTTCCAGGCTTGGGAGGGGACTGCTCAGGCCTTTCTAGCATCTCTCATCTCACTGGAATCTAGAAAAGGAGGGCTGCCCTGTGTGGGGCCTCTACACAGGCCTCCCTTCTCTGCTGTCCTCTAGGAGAAAGACCATGTGTGGGACTCTGGACTACCTGCCCCCAGAAATGATAGAAAGGAGAACATATAATGAGACGGTTGATCTGTGGTGCATTGGCGTGCTCTGCTATGAGCTGCTGGTGGGGAATCCACCCTTTGAGAGCCATTCCCATAATGAGACGTACAGACGTATCCTCAAGGTGGGATGGTCACATTCTGGGAATTCGTGGGGGCGGGGTGCTACAGAGCCTGGGCTGCACATAAAGGTTGTCGAATAAGATCCAGAAGAGTGCCTGGAAGGGACTCAAGGAACAGAAAACATGGAGCACAGAAATTAACCATCCTTTTCTTTTTTCTTGTCTGGCCTCATCAGGTGGACATCAGGTTTCCTCCGTCAATACCTTTGGGGGCCCGGGACTTGATCTCCAAGCTTCTCAGATACCAGCCTTTGGAGCGGCTGCCTTTGTCACAGATCCTGGAGCACCCCTGGGTCCGGGCCCACTCTCAGAGGGTGCTGCCTCCATCTGTTCAGATGAATTCTTGAGCCCTGTCCGCACCTGTTTCATTGCATTTGTCCAGGGAGCTCTCCTGGCTCTACTAACTGGTCTGTCTTTTGTTTCTTCTAAGATGCAAGATACTAATGAATAAAAGCTGAGTCATTTTTTTACCAGGTCTTTATGGTTCTGTGAGTTGGTGTCTGATGGGGTAGAATCTTTATTTCTTGTAGAAACTCTTTCCCATGAGAGCGTCCCAAGATGATGTCCCTCCGGGTCCCCAGAGTGGTGACTCAACCACTCACCGTCAAAACTAGTTCCTATTTTCATTCAGATAACCGCCTTGGTGCATACCCTATCCCCCATCACAGTTGCTTCTAGACTCAATTTACTATTTCCCATCTTCTCAGGAGCATGGATCTATAAAACAGGACACGGGTCAACCCAGAGGTCCACTGTCTTTATACTGACACGAGCATGCTACCGTCTGATAACATGTCTCACTGAACATCAACTGCCGCTCAATTCTCAAATGGATTCACCAGTATCTCTGTGATGTGTCATATTCTGATTGCATCAACTAAATCACCCCTAATAATAGACGGACCGTCACCTCTTCTGAAATCACATCCTCCACTTGGAGCAATTTAGGGCTCTTCCAACCTTCCCCTGTATCCTTCTGTCCCACTGTATCCTTCTGTCCCACTGTCATGTGTCAGCCACTCCCTCTATCCACAATAAGCTGACTGCCCCAGAATAAACATCTAGACACAGCTGGGAGCTCAAAACATGGTTTTTGCTCATTTTTGCAGGCATTGCTTTCCCCGCTGTGTCACCTGACTTACAAACACTGCGTATGGAGCTTGCCTTGTTCATGTTACTCCCTTCATCGTATTCTATGCAGTCTCCTCATGTGAAGTGTCCTGCACGTGTAGGACCACGGCTCCATGTGTGACCAGACCCATTATACAAGGAACTCGGCTACTCAGACGGACAGCCCCCAACCCCTGCTGCAGATGTATGATTTAAAGGCTCCAAGACACTGGCTTGTGGCTTTTCATCTGCACCTCCAGTGCCCACATCTCTGCTTTCTAGCTTTGTCCTCTCTATCAGTGCTCTTGAAGTAATACTTCAATTAAACACCTTGAAATTCCTAATAAACTAACTGGTTTGTACATAGGAACCCTGCAATATTACTCGGTTCTGGTGCTAGACAAATTCACATCACTGGGTGCATTTTGGGGGAAGTAGGTAAGATAAGCATAGGAAAGGAAACTAGGGCTTCCACGTTGACTACCCGGTGATATGTGTCTAAATCACGCAAACTCTCTGACATGCTTTACAGCAGGGATTTCCAATAGCTATATAGCTTTCCCCACCACTGATTCCAGACATTCTGCCTCTCATGACAAAGAGAATATAAAAATCTTTAATATCTGACTTACATTCTAGCCTCAAATCACTTCATTTAACTGTGTCAACTACATGTGAAGAGAAATATGCTGTTTCCAATTTGGTCAAGTTATTATGGCCAATGATGGATCACACGCTAATTTAGCCATATTTCTCCACAATCTTTTTTTAAATTTTTTAAAAAATTTTTCCTTAGTTTTGGGAGAGCACAAGCAGCGAGGGGCAGCAGGAGAGGACAGAGGATCTGAAGCAGGCTCTGTGCTGACAGGCTGACAGCAGTGAGCCTGATGTGGGGCTTAAACTCAGGAACCATGATATCATGACCTGAGCTGAAGGTGGACACTCAACCAACTGAACCACTCAGGTGCCCCCGCCCTTTTTTTTTTAATATGAATTTTTATTTATTT